AATTTTTTAAAAGGCGTGGTAATCTTAATAAAGTCAGAAAAAGTATTATTATAAAATCCAACATCCATTCCCTGATACTCTTAGCAAAGGAGGAATAAAAGGGAATTTGTCCAATGTACAGTCCATCTACCCTGGCTCCATGTTGTTAAGATGTCAATTCTCCCCAAATAGACCTCTGTGCATGCGTGTGCTCAGCTGCTTCAGCCATGTCCAACTCTGTGACCCCATGAACTGTAGCCCGCCAGGTTTCTTGGCCCATGGGATTTCCCAGGCAAGAAGACTGGAGCGGGTTGCCATCTCCTCCTCCAGGGGAAAGTTCCAACGCAGGGATTGACCCACATCTCCTGCATTGGCAGGCAGAGTCTTTACCACTGAGTTACCAGGGAACTCCAAATTGATCTACAGATGCAACGCAATCACGACAGAAATTCCAACAGAATATCTGTAGAAAGTGAAAAAGTGATTCTATATTCCCTACAAAAACCCAAAGAAACCTTAAAAATTGTAGAAGAATAAAACTGGAGAACACTATTTGATTACAAGATTTTAAATTGAGTCATAAAAAGACAGTGTCCCTGGCATCACTACAGCCGAGTCAATCCATGAAACAGAATAGAAGTCCAGAGGTGAGTTCACACACATGTACAAGTAATTTTTGACAAAGGTTGAAAGACAACTCAGAGAAAAAAGGATTGCTTTCCAAATATAGGCAAGATGCATGGCCATGCACAGAGAAAAGTGAACTTTGTTCTGTACCTTGGACAATATACAAAAGTTAAATCAAAGTGGATAATTAAAAGCAAAACCGAAAACTAAAACTTCCAGAAGCAAATACAAGTGAAAGGTCTTTCAAATTGGGCTTGCAAAGATTCCTCAAACATGACACTTAAAGTAATAATCCATGAACTAAATTAGTGACATTGGCTTTGTCAAAATTTTACATTTCTCATCTTTAGGATATATAGTTAAAATGTATAGCCAAACAGCAGTCTAACAAAAAAAGTTTTGCAAGTCATGTATCTGAGAAAGAATTACATTCAGAATGTATAAGGAAGGCTCAAACATCAGTAATTTTTTAAAAATATTAAAAAGCAGACAAAATATGTGAACAGACATGGCACCAAAAAACATATGGATGGAAAAACGACAAGAAAAGATGATCAACCTGATTAGTTATTTGGTGAATACAAATTAAATCCAAATGATATACAACAATAAACCTTCTAGATTGCCTAAATTTAGAAAGTAACAATACCACAGGTTGGTGAGGTGAAAGAACTTGAACTCTAATACACTGGTGAAGCCATGCAAAGTGTTATAACTCCGTAAAACAATTTAGCAGCATCTTAAAAAGTTAAACATGTACGTATTATATGATCCAGCAATTCCCCTCATAGGGATTTACCCAAGAGGAAAGAATACAGGTTGGTAGTGATGCGCAGTCTTGTCTGAGTCTTCTGCCACCCACCATGGACTGCAGCCCACCAGGCTCCTCTGTCCGTGAAATTTTCCAGGCAGGAATACTGGAACAGGCTGTCATTTCCTACTCAGGGGGATCTTCTCAACCCAAGGATCGAACCCATGTCTCTTTTGTCTCTTGCACTGGCAGGTGGGTTCTTTACTACTAGTACCACCTGGGAACTGGGAAGCCCTGTATCCATACAAAAATTGGAATGAGGTAGTGACTACAGATTTGTAATAAACACTGGAAGCAACCCAAATGTCCATGATCATGTGAACTGGTGAATTTTGGTGCCTACCGATAAAGAAAGACTGCTTAGCAGCAAAAGAGAATGAACTATGCACATACATAAGAAAATACATGAATCTCAAAATAATATTGCTGAGTGAAGGAAAGCACACGGTGATTCCATTATAGAAGTTTCTATAAAATGCATCTCATCAGTATTGACAGAGCAGCTTATTGGTTGCCTAGAGATGAGAGAGACAAAGTGGGATGAGAAATTTGGGGAAATTGTAGAAACATTCATTCTCTTAATTGTGGAAAATATTTTATGGGTATGTATTGATACAGATGTCAAATCTTATCACACCATGCTTTAAGTATGTACAGCACATTATATGTCAATTAAACCTCATAATGAAATCTATAAAATTTGTAGGCCATAATTTAGGATACTTATTAAAATATAAAATTACCGAAAATGAACAGTAAGAATAAACACCAATGATAAGAGCCAGCGTTCTCTGCAGTTATAGTAAAAACAAATATTAATGTTATTTTCTCAGTTTTCTTAGGTGCTCAGAACCAGCTGTAAACAAATTTACATATTTGAAGGGTATTACATAAATGTTTTATTCTTATTAGAATTTTGTTTGGTCTTCAAATTCAAAGCAAAATAAAACTAGATTATGGAAGTATTCAAAATTGTATGAACTATTCCAATAACCATGAAGAACATGTAGCAGCAATGAATACAATCTGGAAAAAAGGAGATGATACTAAGAAGAAAATATTTGCATTTTTTTTTATTCTTTATTTTCTATTGAAGTACAGCTGATTGACAGTATCATTTGAGTTTCTGTTCTACAAGTGATTCAATATTTGTATAGATTATACTCCATATAAGGTTATTGTAAAATACTGGCTATATGCCCTGCTCTGTACAGTATATCCTTGTAGCTTATTTATTTTATACACAGTAGTCTGTGCCTTTAAATCACTTACTGCCATCTTGCCCATACTCCTTCCCTGTCACCTGGTACCACTAGTTTGTTCTCCATATTTTTGAATCTGCTTCTGTTGTTATATTCATTTGTTAATTATTTAGATTCCACCATGTATGTGACAATATATTGCCTTGGTGTTATTTACTTCACTGAGCATAATACCCTCAATGTCTATCTAAGTGATTGCAAGTGGCAGAATTTTTTTTCTTATGGTTGAGCAGTATTCCATTCTGTGTATGTGCAGGCATATAAGTGTGTGTGTGTGTCTGTATTTACTATTTCATCAACTGATGGACAGTTAGGTTGCTTCCACATCCTGGCTATTGTAAATACAGCCATGAACATCAGGATGTATATATTACTATAATAATCTGAAAAATTAAGATGCAAGAGTACTTTTAAAAACCTTTCATTTAATGGATTGCTGAATTAGCATTGCAATAAATAAAGCTGTACATTTTTAAAGCAAAGAAGTACTTTCAATTCAAGCAGGATGATGTTCAATGTCAACATGTCTACAAGATGCATTCCTTTCCTTCTCAACTAACAAGATACTTTTCAACAGCAGGCTTCTAGACACTGGCACAAGTTAGAGACCAGTGTGAACATGGGTCAAGTAAAAAGAGGGAGGATTTTTCAGGATAAAGGATGGGATTCCCAGCAGGAAATGCTTCTGAGTAACAGTTGCTCACCATCCACCTGGCCCCTGCCTGCCAGCCCCTCCCACAGCCACTCAAATAGAGCCCAGTGTGGGAGTTTGTTTCAAGGGGAAAATTGGTGGCTCAGTCTTCATGTTTTTATAATATTTAGTTTATAAAACCATAGAAACTAGTCTGTGTGTTGGCTTGTCCTTCATGGAGGGAGAAATACCATGATGGAAATCATACCTCCTATAAAGAAAGTTGAGCATGGAAGAATTGATGCTTTTGAACTGTGGTGTTGGAGAAGACTCTTGAGAGTCCCTTGGTCTGAAAGGAGATCCAACCAGTCCATCCTGAAGGAGATCAGTCCTGGGTGTTCATTGGAAGGACTGATGTTGAAGCTGAAACTCCAATACTTTGGCCACCTGATGTGAAGAACTGACTCATTGGAAAAGACCCTATTGCTGGGAAAGATTGAAGGCAGGAGGAGACAGGGACGACAGAGGATGAGATGGTTGGATGGCATCACCAACTCAATGGGCATGAGTTTGAGTAAACTCCAGGAGTTGGTGATGGACAGGGAGGCCTGGCGTGCTGTGGTTCATGGAGTCGCCAAGAGTCGGACATGACTGAGCAACTGAACTGTAGGATCAGCCAGCTACAGATTTCATCTTTTTTTAACTGAGAGGAGGCAAGGCCATGAATTAAGGATGGGTCATAGCAGAGTCACAGATTTCAGGAAGAAATGCTGGCTTGGTGGCAGGGCTGGCTAAATATTGAACTACCCAGAGAGAAAGAGGCTTGAAAACTCATTAGGCCACACCCCAAATCAATTAAACCCATTTGTCTCTGCTGTGGGAATCAGGTGTTAGACATGGAAAGTCCTCCAGGTGATTCCTCTCAACCCTCAGCCAAAGTTGAGAAAGCATCAGCTGAGATTCTGAGTCAGCAATTTAAAAAGCCTTGTGGTAGTCCTTTCTCTGATTTTACCCTATAAAGAATCTTTTTTTTTTCTTCTGATTCCTTACACCCTCCCATTGCTATTTACCACCACTGAATCTTATTTTAGAGAAAGTTATGAAATTCACACAACCTTGAAACAAATCCTTGCGAGAATTTCCATCTATTGATTATTCACTTGAAAACAAAGGGATGTTTAAAGTGATCCTTTTCTCTAGCCTTCTTACATTAAAAATCACAAAAAGAAAACTCAGAATAGATTTTTCAAATATAGCTTTTTTTTCCCTCTGTAAAACATCCCTTTGTGATGATAGCCATTACCCAAGTGTTTGTATTTTAATTGAGTGTTTCATTATCCCTAAAGTGATTCAACCTGCAGTGCTCTCCACACAACCATTAATCCAAAGAAAATCGCTCTCTCCCAGATACCTTGCGAGGCGGCAAAAATACATCTTGATATAAACACACAACTCATTGAACAGTTCTTTCAAAAAAGATAGCTATTACTGTAAACAACTTACATCTCTAAGAATGATGTGGAATATGTTCGTTTTAATTTTAACCTTTCTAAACAAAAGTGTGGTCTGCTTGAAGTCCTTTGGGGCCCCTAAGTGTGCTTATGAGTTTGGAGAAAAGAGATACAAACCCTGGCTCTCTATTTTGAGCTGCAGTAAAACATACAGAATTTTATGCTCATCCCATTAGCAGTGATGAATTTGCCCTGGGTCACCCTTGGCCAAGTCAGCAAGACCCTCCTAACCAACAGGACACATTTAACACATGAACAGATAGAGGCGACGCGGTGGTTATTCTGCCAGTTTGACCGCAGAGAAGAAAGACACCCTCTCCCTCTGAAGCTACAGGGCAGGAAGGTGGTGGGACACACGGTCCTAGATGCTCAGGGAAACCCGGGGACCAGGGCCGGGCCCGTGAGCATCCTCAGGGGGCCCGCGGTCTCCAGGGGCGGCAGCAGAGACTCTGCCGAGCTGTCCCAGGCTCCCCGACACGCCAGCATCAGCTTCCCATCGCTGCCGCAACAAACCCCCGAAAACAGCGCCACAGCACAAGGAAAGTGGGTTCCTACCTTCAGACGTGGGAAATCAGGGTGCTGGGCAGCGCTGGTTCCTCCCGGGGGTCTGGACAAGAACTCCTTCTCTCTGCCTGCCACCCCCGTCTTGCTTCCGCCCAAGGCTCTGGGCCACCGCCTCCGTTTATATAAGGTTCCTTCGTGTTGACTCCACCTGCATTACCTAATGTCCCATCAGAGGACCCTTAACTTAATGCTGCCATGCAAGATAGGGTACTCACAGGTGCCGGGAATTAGAGTGTGCACGTGTTAGGCTGGGGCCGTGAGGTGGGAGGCCGGAATTCCCATCTACATTTCATATATGATTTTTTGGGGGGTGGGGTCCAAAAGCAACTTAAGGATCATACAAGAAATTTGTGACACAAAGACCTACTCATAACACCAGCTAAGACAGGTAGAGCCTGAGTTGCAAGTTTTCTCACAAAACATAAATGAGAGGGAAGAGTGATTAAGTAGAAGGGAACCATGAACATCTATTACCACATCTAAGTGAGAACTGTAATTTTTTTTTGGTTGCCCTGAGTCTTCGTTGGGCATGTGGGATCTTCCATGCTGGCAGGGGCAACCTCTTTTTTTGTGGGTAATCTTTAGTTCCCACATGTGGGATCTAATTCTCTGGGTAGGGATTGAACCCAGGCCCCCTACATTCCAAGTGTAGTCTTAGCCACTGAACCACCAAGGAAGTCCCCAGTAAGAACTACAATTAACATCATGCTTTCTATGTTCCAGCCACTGCAGAAGGTACTTGATACATGTGACCCCATTTAGTATTGCAAGGATATTTCTCATTTACAGGTGAACATGGCTGTGTCCATCCTAAGTCACTTCAGTTGCCTCTGAATCTGTGTGACCACATGGACCATCAAGCTACTCTGTCCGAGGGATTCTTCAGTTAAGAATACTGGATTGAGTCACCATGCCTTCCTCCAGGGTATCTTGCTGACCCAGGGACCACACCCACATCTCTTATGTCTCCTGCACTGGCAGGCATGTTCTTTACCACTCGCTCCACCTGGGAAGCTCTTACCAATGAATACACTGAGCCAAACCGAAGTCACAAAGCTAGTAGGTGGCAAGGCGGGGTTCTCATGCTGGTCTGCGGGCACCAAAGCACAATGCTTATTCCTGCTGCACGTGACACTCTGACTCCTGAGGGGGCAAGAGGCTGGGTGAATAGCGGCAGGACTCAGAAACCTGCTTCCTGCCCAAGCTCATTTGCCACTCTGGCTGTGGGAAACGTCATCATTTATAAAAGGAAGGATCTCGCTCTCTGTCTCTTCCTTCTTGATTTCTCTGAATCTCAAAGGAAAAGCTTGTTTGCTTCTTCCAGAAAATGTGAGAATACCAGTTATCCAGGTAAACCTCTGCCTCTCAGGAGCATCTCCTGACAGAGGCTTTTCCTAAAAACCTGCATAATCGTGCCTCCTATCACTGATGACTTTGACCTTTCAGTCATCTTTGAATCTCTTCCTCCAGGAAACTGACTTCTGCTTCCTCATGCCAACCTGACAGTTCTCTCTGTTGCTTGCTTTTTTATTTATTTTAAAGTTCTTCACTGGAGTATAATTTATATTACAATGCACCTTCTGAGATGCACATTTCAGTGAGTCTTGAGAAATGTATACACCCATGTCACCACCTCCCAAATCAGCATACAGGATGTTTCCATCACCTCAGAAGTTCTCTCCTGCATCTTCTCAATTATCTCTTCACCTGTAGTCCTAGGCAGCCACTAATCTGGTTTCCAACATGGTAGATTATATTTGTCTTTTCTCAAGTCGTCTACTTTGGTACAATCACAGTTGAGATTAGGAGTCACTTCATTGTACTCTTTAAGCGTCCATATTTTTTCACTTCTCAGACTTTACAAAGGTTTTGTTGCCTCTCATTTCCTGTATTAAATATATTACTCAATATAGAAAAACCTCAAAGTAAGCTACACAATACAATAAAAGAAATTACAAGATTTAAGTTGTAGAATGCACTGGATATCAGTGAGAAGAGGGCTTTCCAGGTGGTGCTAGTGGAAAAAAAGCCACCTGCCAATGCAGGAGATTTAAGAGCTGCAGGTTAGATCCCTAAGTCAGGAAGATCCCCTGGAGGAGGGCATGCAATGCACTCCAGTACTGTTGCCTGGAGAATCCCACGGCCAGAGGAGCCTGGGGGCTGCGTCCATGAGGTCACAAAGAGTCAGACGTCACTGAAGTGACTCAGCACACAGCATGCATAGTGAGATGAGCCAAAAATCTGGGATAATTCTGTCCAGTATTAAAACAAGATGAACAGCTTAGAGTATGAGGTTTCATCCTCATGGAACTGGCAGCACAGGAGTTGGAAGACAGCCTGCTATCCACATAGCACTGTAACCACCCTTTAAAGTGCTGTCTCCTAAAAGTAAATATAAATAGCACCAAATAGGCCCTTACAACATAGACCACAGCATTTCTGTGAGTGACCCAATTAATATCATATCAGTGACCCAAATTAATCTCATGTGTGTCATTGGTTTGGCTGATCATATATTTCCAATGTCCTCAGTTACCGGACAGAGGTTTGAAATTCTCCCTGAAAGAATATTACCTCATCTAATACTTTGACAATTATTTCTAAAATAAAATAATATTTCTACTAAAATGTTCAGCACACAATCAAAGATATCTGGAGACTTGAGAAGATGTGACATTTGAATGGAGACAAACTAACACATAAATGCTAAGCAAAAATGGATCCTCAGTTACTCCAGATACCACAATCAATGGATTTGGATTATAAGATAACTGTGTTTACTATGGAGATAAAAAGGAAAGCATAACCATTTCTGCAAAGAATTCAAAGATTAAATATATATATATATATATATATATATATATATATACACACATATATTCTATGTTTGAAAAAGAAAAAACTGGAAATTCTACACTAAAAATGCAGTTACTGAAATTGGGAATTCAGGAGCAAATTGTAACAGGAAGTGAGATTTACTGGTAGCTGAAGAGAACATTAGTGAATGTGAAATAGATGAGAAGAAATATCAAGAATGACGCACAGAAAGACAAAAGAAAAAAATTACAGGAAATGAGCAGATAGCAATAATACAGTTAGAAGATTTCAGTTCAGTTCAGTTGCTCAGTTGTGTCCGACTCTCTGTGACCCCATAGACTGCAGCACGCCAGGACTCCCTGTCCATCACCAATTCCCGGAGTTTTCCCAAACTCATGTCTGTTGAGTCGGTGATGCCATCCAACCATCTCATCCTCTGCCATCCCCTTCTCCTCCTGCCCTCAATCTTTCCCAGCATCAGCGTTTTTCAAATGAGCTAGTTCTTCACATCAGCTGGCCAAAGTATTGGAGTTTCATCTTCAACATCAGTCCTTCCAATAAACACCCAAGACTGATCTCCTTTACAATGGACTGGTTGGATCTCCATGCAGTCCAGGGACTCTCAAGAGTCTTCTCCAACACCACAGTTCAAAAGCATCAATTCTTTGGCATTCAGCTTTCTTTACAGTCCAACTCTCTCACATCCATACATGACTACTGGAAAAATCATAGCCTTGACTAGACAGATCTTTCTTGGCAAAGTAATGTCTTTGCTTTTTAATATGCTATCTAGGTTGGTCATAACTTTCCTTCAAGGAGTAAGCATCTTTTAATTTCATGGCTGCACTAAAAAGAAATGCAAAAAAGCAAAATGGCTGTCTGAGGAGGCCTTAAAAATAGCTGTGAAAAGAAGACAGGTGAAAAGCAATAAAGAAAAGGAAAGTTACACCCATTTGAATGCAGAGTTCCAAAGAATAGCAAGGAGTGATAAGAAAGCCATCCTCAGTGATCAATGTAAATAAATAGAGGAAAACAATAGAATGTGAAAGACTAGAGATCTCTTCAAGAAAATTAGAGATATGAAGGGAACATTTCATGCAAAGATGGGCTCAATAAAGGACAGAAAGAGTATGGACCTAACAGAAGCGGAAGATATTAAGAAGAGGTGCCAAGAATACACAGAAAAACTGTACAAAAAGATCTTCATGATCCAGATAATCACAATGGTGTGATCACTAACCTAGAGCCAGACATCCTGGAATGTGAAGTTGAGTGGGCCTTAGGAAACATCACTACGAACAAAGCTGGTGGAGGGGATGGAATTCCAGCTGAGCTAATTCAAATCCTAAAAGATGATGCTGTGAAAGTGCTGCACTCAATATACCAACACATTTGGAAAACTCAGCAGTGGCCACAGGACTGGAAAAGGTCATTTTCATTCCAATCCTAAAGAAAGGCAAGGCCAAAGAATGCTCAAACTACCACACAATTGTACTCATCTCACATGCTAGTAAAGTAATGCTCAAAATTCTCTAAGCCAGGCTCCAGCAATAGGTGAACAGTGAACTTCTAGATGTTCAAGCTGGTTTTAGAAAAGGCAGAGGAACCAGTGATCAAGTTGCCAACATCTGCTGGATCATCAAAAAAGCAAGAGAGTTCCAGAAAACATCTATTTCTGCTTTATTGACTATGCCAAATCCTTTGACTGTGTGGATCACAATAAACTGTGGAAAATTCTGAAAAACATGGGAATATCAGACCACCTGACCTGCCTCTTGAGAAACCTATATGCAGGTCAGGAAGCAACAGTTAGAACTGAACGTGGAACAATGGACTGGTTCCAAATAGGAAAAGGAGTACGTCAAGGCTGTATATTTTCACCCTGCTTATATAACTTATATGCAGAGTACATCATGAGAAATGCTGGGCTGGAAGAAGCACAAGCTGGAATCAAGATTGCTGGGAGAAGTATCAGTAACTTCAGATATGGACATGCTGTTGCTGCCGGTAAGTCACTTCAGTTGTGTCTGACTCTGTGCGACCCCATAGATGGCAGCCCACCAGGCTTCCCCATCCCTGGGATTCTCCAGGCAAGAACACTGGAGTGGGTTGCCATTTCCTTCTCCAATGCATGAAAGTGAAAAGTGAGTGAAGTCGCTCAGTCATGTTCAACTCTTAGCAACCCTATGAACTGCAGTCAACCATGCTCCTCCATCCATGGGATTTTCCAGGCAAGAGTACTCAAGTGGGGTGCCATCACCTTCTCCCATATGCATATGACACCACCCTTATGGCAGAAAGTGAAGAAGAACTAAAGAGCCTCTT